CCAAGAGAAGGGGAGATTACAGAGAGTCCCATGTGACTGAGGATGCTGACTTAGCTCCCACGTGCTGCACCCACCTGGAGTCTGTTGTAGCTACAGGGTCTGCTTACCTGTGCTTGGCACACGTTGGGTAGGGTTTTCAGCAAATAGGTAGCTTTAAATGGGTAGAGATATGTTTGTTTGGGCTAAACGTAAAGCAGCTGACTGTATAATAATTTGAGTTTGGTTCCAGTGGCCAATATTCCTAGCCCTTCCTGTGGTGAAGTAAGGAAAAAGGGAGCCACAGGGACTGTCCCTTTGGCCCATTTATGAAACCCTCATGAATTCCCTCACTCATCAGTTCGCTCATTACAGTCAACTCACAGCTTCGTCATGGTTTGATCCGAGTTTGAGATCATGAGGCAAAAATGAGGGCAAAAACAACCCTGAAAACCCCTTAAGTTGAACTTCCAAGTAAAGGAAGGATTCAGAGCATCCAGTGTGCCACAACCTTTTCTCTGTCTCTCGGGGATACCAGGGACAGGACGTGACCATCGCGGGCCTGGCAGGAGAGGCAGTTTCTCTCAGGTGGAGCCTGAACTCAGTGTGGGAGTGATTATCTCTCCACACCTGAGACAAGGCCTTCTTGTTTAATGCACTCGATCCCTGTGAATTGTGAGTTTTTCCAGTGTAGCTGTTTGGAACGGGTACTATGTCTGGCCCTCTGTGAGCACCAAACACTGTTCCCTCCAACCCTGTCATGTGGCTTTTTTCTGCGGTATCAGCTTGTTTCCTCACATGTTTGTGCAGTCAGGACTCGGCCGAGTATTTGGGAGCGCTCTGCAGATTTCTGGGGTTCTTTCAACATGCAGATCTCTTCCTGTTTGGTATTCTGTCCTTTGAGCCCCACCTGCCTTGATCTTGTTCATTTTTCCATTTCTCCAAATGTGTGTGTGTTATCAATGCTTGATAATTTTCCACATATAGGCTTTTCACATTTCTTGTTAGATTTATTCCTATCTCATCTCATACTTGTATTAATCGCAATCCCCTTCTGTATGCAGTCTGCATATATGAAGACCCATATGTTATGTATGTTAATGTTCTATCCTAATATTTTTTCATTGATGGATTGATTTTTTTTTTAATTTTTTTTTAATGTTTTATTTACTTTTAAGACAGACAGAGACAGAGCATGAATGGGGATGGGGCAGAGAGAGAGGGAGACACAGAATCCGAAGCAGGCTGCAGGCTCTGAGCTGTGAGCACAGAGCCCAACGCGATGCTCGAACTCAGGAACTGTGAGATCATGACCTGAGCCAAAGTTGGGCGCTTAACCAACTAAGCCACCCAGGTGCCCTGATTATCTTTTTTTAAATAAAAAATTAATTATTTAGGCTTCCCAGGTATATATTTATGTCTTCTACAAGCAGTAGGTGCAATAATACTATGAGTGCCTGGGTGGCTTAGTCAGGCATCTGACCATTGATCTCGGCTCAGGTCACGATCTCACGGTTGGTGAGTTTGAGCCTCGCATCAGGCTCTGTGCTGACAGTATGCAGTCTGCTTGGCATTCTCCCTCTCTCCCTGTCTGCCTGCCCCTCCATCATTCATGCATGCTCGCTCGCTGTCTCTCAGAATAAACTTAAAAGAAGAAATCAGTGATATTTATCAACTTAAGGACATCCTAATATTACTTTTTTTTTATCATTGTCACCTATAAAATTCTGCCAAATATCTTGGTTTGCAGTTACCAACATGATCATCTGTCTTTCTCCTTAACTTCTTTTTCTTTCTTCCTTTCTTTCTTTCTTTTTTTTTTTTTTTTTTTTTTTAAGTAAACTGTCCCTCCAAGTTGGGGCTTGAACTCACAACTCAAGAATTACATGCTTTACAGACTTAGCAGCCAGGTGCCCCTATGCTGTAATCTTTTATTGGTGACAGTATTTGGAAATATATTTAATAATTTGGGATCCCTTATGTATGTGAGATTTGTTAAATATTGGTGGCAATCTTTGTAAGATATTGGGAAATTATTTGCAAGCATTATTCTTTTGAAGTATAGTAAACATAACATTTGTGAATGGCCCAAGTAACATGGATCTATCTGATAGTGAAGAATAATAGAGTATCACTGATAAACTATCATCTGGTGCTGTCTTTGTGAAAGACTTCCTGTACAAATATTGCTGTTTCCGCCCCTTCCCCC